AAAAAAAAGGAATTTGTGGAGGAAGGGGCCATCAGGTCAGGATGGCCACAATCCATGGCTTTGTATCAATAGGAGTCTGCTTCTATTTGTGTATCACTTTCTAAGGAGCGCAAGATGGAGAGTGCAGCTAAACTCATGCGCTGCTGCTGGGTTTCCTGATTGTGCAAAGAGAAAGTTGGGCTACATAGCCATTGGTCTCATCCAACATGGCTCTTCTTATGTTCTTGTGTAGATCTATCACGCACCCTTTCTGTTCTCCTTTGCTTTCTTTTTCAAGACTCAGTATTTTGTCCCTGTGACCGATGTTGAGTTTCAAGAGCGCTTGGAGAGGCACCGGGGAGAGATCGCCGTCATGTTGAGATCTTCGGAGTTCAATCAAGACAAGACCACATTGATTGTGACTAACAACCCGCTCCCTCTGCTCATTTCCGGTCAACACCTGTCCACGCCTTTCCATTTTTTCCCAGAAGACTTGGTAGGAAGGGTAGGCAGTTTATTCAGTTTATTTGTCATTTACTGTAAGTTATTGTAGTCTGTTATTTTAAGTATATTTTTAAATTTCGATTGTTTAATTGTATTTTGGGTGTGTGTGTGTGTAGGCTATTGGGGGACGGGATTATTCATTTTATTGTGTAAGCCGCCCCGGTTGTATTTTACAGAGAGGCAGGATATAAATTATTATTATTATTATTATTATTATTATTATTTAGTCTTGCTAAAATGGAAAGAGTACTGAGTTGTGGAAAGCCAACTTGTGTTGTGGTTTGATTGTTGGACTAGGGACTTGGAGTGGCTTCTTTTAGCTTCAGAGGAAGGCAATATGAAACCTCATCTGAATTTTCTGCATAAGGACGATGTTTTCAAGAGAGAAAATAATGTTTTCTGTGCAGAAAATGCCATTTTTATTTTGTGAAAAAACACAAAACAATGGTTTTCTTTTCCCCCTTCTCTTTTTCTTCCTTCTGTTTCTTTATCTTTGGCAGCATCCTCGCTGCAGAATTAATGCAGTTTGACACTGCTTTAAATGCCATGGCTCAACGCTATGGAATTCTAGGACTTGTCGTTTTGTGACATATTAACCTTCTCTGTCAGAGAGTTCTGGTGCCACAACAAACTACAAATCCCAGGATTCCATAGGCTGGAGCCATGACAGTTAAAGTGGTGTCAAACTGCATTAATTCTGCAGTGTGGCAGCAGCCTTTCATTGTGTATTATTTTGATTGCACCTGAGACTGTTCGTACTAAAAATTAATACAAATTAATCTCACCCCCCCAAAAAAACTATGGTTTGTGTCCTGTTGGTGAATTATGGTGATGTATGTCAAATGTAGGCCATCACAGCTCACCTTTTTCGATCATTGTGGAGTAGGTAATTCTTTTCTGTCCATGTAGTGACCAACATCATCCCGCACAGATATACCTTGTAAACAGCACAGCTTATCCAAACATGGTCCTTTCCATGTTGTCAGAGACCAAGAGGATCAGTGGGGATGTGTCCAATTATTTTTCCTGTAGCTGGACCCACTAATAATAATAAATATAATAATAAAATTTATTTATACCCTGCACCTCTGTTATTTATTTATTTATACACTGCAAGGAAGCTGTCTGCAGGGACCTCCCAAGGATTCCCAGAGGTTCTATGGATACCTGTCACAGTGCATGCAGCTACAGGAAAATAGCTGAATGCGTCTCCAGTGACCCATCCAATAAGACAGAAATGGCTATGTTAGGGGGGATAGCTATGCTACTTGCAAGATGGTTTTGGGGAGGTGGGATGCATACCTATGGAGATGTGAGACACATATGTCTCCTGAAGTGGGATCTTGGCCATGTCTGGTTGTTTTTGTGGCAAATATGTTCCGACCTTCAAAAATTCCAGCAGCTCCAGTTTTCTTTTCATCAGGGTTTCCCAATGCTTAGGAAATCCATTTATCGCCTCTTGTTCAAATATTTTCAAATATTATTTCCATCCCTATTTTGTGCTAGAACAAAGTCAATCTCCCACCAAACAGATAAACCAAAGGACCCTAGTATGTAGAGAGATCTTGTAGCACCTTTGAGACTAACTGAAAGAAAGAAATTGGCAGCAGGAGCTTTTGTAGACTTCAGTCTACTTCCTCAGATGCATTTGGTAGATCACCGAGGTTTTCATTATTATTATTTCCCCCCTTTATTTCTAGGTCTGGTGTGTTCTGGTGGTGAAAGATTGCCCCTTAGACTATTCAAAGATGTCCAACAAACTGTTAATGG